GGTTACATTTGTGCCCTGGACTCAGGCCTGTTTTATTTGGCCGTTGTCTTCTTAGCAACTCTTCCTCCTGCCCCTCAAGGCCAGTTCCTCTACTCTCTACCTTCATAATGGGCTAGACCTCCCATGAGGTCCTGGACCAGGTAGTGAGAACTGATCGGTTGAGTTGGTCCATATCTCTAGAGTAGAAATTGCTAACCTGGTAATGTCTATATATAAAGACCTCTTACATACTAACTTGATCCAGTATGACTATGTCTTGATAATAGGGCAGTTCTCAATCTCTAGTTCCTCCCAAGAATGTAGGAACTGGTTTCATCAATAATGAGGAGATACAAAAATCAAAACAGTGGGTGTTATGCTTACACAGAACAAATCCTTCCCTAAAAGCTGAACAATAAATGATTAATCAAAATATCTATCCAGTGAGGTCACTGAATGGATGAAGTGTAAACTATCCTTGCTTTGTGGAGCTAACCTTTATCGAACCTGATTCACTGGTGTTTACTAACCTGGCATCTTTAATGGTAAGTAAAAAGAGTCTCGGCGTCAGTAATTCCAGTAGCTCTGGATTGATGTTCACATATGGACAAGGCAAATGCGGTAGAAAGATGGTCAATTTGTTTAAATGCACTGGAAGTCTTTCTTTGAGAAAGAAGCTGCATTATCTGTGATCTTCCAAGCTATTGAGCAGAATTTGCAGTTCAGACTGACACTGATGGAAAGCAACCTGGGGAGTTGTGATGTGTATCGGTATAAAAAGCTGTCTTCACAGTTACCGTATTTTCTAAGCCCTTCTAAAGCCTTGGAAAATCACTTTCTTACATTGCGTATTATCTGATACGATATTACACGTGTTGGATCCTCGGTTGATAGTTTGAGCTTGCAGTTGAATGGGGCTGTAGTGAAAAATACCCCCCCCCCAAACTGGGGGCTTCTGGGGGTGTGGATTTCAGCCCCCACAATTGTCTACAAGGATATTTGGTGTCTGGGAAATGTTGATAGTTGAAGCCCACACATCCAGAGGTGGCCCGGTTTGGATAGGGCTACTCTAAGTCATCCTTCCGCAAATTGTGACCATCCTACTATGTTGGAATTTGTAATGGTATGTGAGAAAGGCCTTGAGAGGCAGGGCGAAGAGATTCGGCCTAGGGAACGGTCAAATTAGAGATGGCATAGCCTGCAGCTGGATAATGGGTGGAGCAAGAGGCTCAGAAGGGACCCTCCCTAGCTTCTCAGGCTGTAAAGGAGATGGTGGGAGACTTGTATTTTCAAACTTGCAAGATTGATGTCAGCCTTCCCAGGTAGACCAGGCAGGAAACACGACCAGATGAGCTAATTCTACTTTATGTAAGGCTACATTAACAGAATCTTTTTAGGGTGCTACATTATATTATGAAAGGTCTTCCTCCATTTCCTGGTCCACTTATATTGGTAGAAAAGCCATGTAGAAAAGGTGACGTGTACTCCCATTTCCACACTAGCTTCACTTCATTGAGGCCAGATAGCTTTCCATATGGGAAAGAGTCAATAATTCAACAGGAGAAGTCATGTCTTGATCCATCTAGCATAAAATAATTAATATTGGCCACCCAAGGTTTTAGTAAGTAGTTTTTGCTGACCTTATTTGCAGATGCCAAGGGCTGAATTTGGCACCTCTTTCAAGTTCTCAACCACCAACTGCAATCTTATATTCTGGTTCTTTTGTCCAAACATAACTAGGAAAACATTGCGTCAAAATGCAAAGAAGGAATTAGTAAAGTGTGTTATAATGCTTTGCAAATGGAGTGAAAGATGAATTGCATGCAATCCTGCACCTCTTTTTTTTCATAGTCCTCAAAGCTTCCTCCCCAAATGCCACCAAATATCAGCAGTGTAATATTGAAAATCACTGGTCCAATTTCCCAACATTTTGAGATGAGGAACTCTTAAGACTGGGTAGGACACCCAACCTTATTGGATTGGTGGACCCTTTTAGAGTTTCAAAAACATGCTATGAGCCCTCTCATAAAATGCCTGTCATGGTGACCATGATCAGTCACAAAATTCCTTTTTCCCAGAAGACAAATGGTAAGGTTGATTCCCACCAGCTTTCTGTTTCCATCAAAGCAAACAGACACATTTGCTGCTTGAATTTCTGTGGCAACAATGCAAGGAAATGGAGTAAAGAAGCCTGAAGATTTACTGAAGAAATCTGCACAATATCAAGGAAAAAAGAGAATTCCAGATAGTTGAACTTTATTCAGGGGTGTCTAATTGGGAAGAGGAAGAGCGGAAGACTGGTTGTTAGCATGATCAAAAGTATCCAAGAACTGTAAGAAGAATATCCCACCCTTTTTATGAAAGCTGATCACAGGCATATTTATTTCTCTGGTTTAAGAAAGAGCTATCATTCACCTTTGGATCCTGAAAAAACCTCAGTCTCAGGAACATTTTGATCATAAAAACTCTTCCTTTCCCTCACTCCGCCCCTACCCTATTATTCATCTCCATAGTGGAAGGAACATTTACCAGAAAAGCATGCTGCCTTTTTGAAAGTAAATTTGATGCAACAGAAAACATTGAATTATCATTTATTATGTCTTAGACCAATATGGGACCAATAACTTGTAATCTTCAGTTTTCTTCTGTCCTTCCACTTTAGTGTCAGGACTTACAAACGGTCTAAAATCCATACCTAATTAGATGCTATTGGAAAGATAATTGTAACATCCTCTGTAGAAGCAATGCAGAAATTATATCTCAATTTCTTTCTCCTCTTCTTCTTCTTCTTCTTCTTCTTCTTCTTCTTCTTCTTCTT